TCTCCTCCGGGGCAGGCGGGAATCGAACTCATGCGGAAGTGGCTTTAGCTTCTCAGTGCAGTGCTTTAACCCGCTGCGCCACCAGGGAGGGCCCGACTCTCTCTTTTTAATAACTTCTTTTGTGTTAAGTAGACTCGTGCTAGTAGCTTTATATTTAATCTGGAGAGAAAAGTGATGAATATGGATAGAGCACAACTAAGGTAATATAAAGTCCGTTGTATAAAAAGATTAAAAGTCTTCAAATTAATAATTTAAACATAAATTCTTACTTGAGTGCTGAAAGTTTTTCTTTCAATTCTTCTGAGGTAATTTCTTCTAGGAAGAAAAGCTTTGAGGTAAATGCATCAATATGTCCTAAAATAAAATAGCAAACTTAAAAAAAAATTGCAACATTTTAAAACAAAAAACCAACTTACTTAGTATCTTTAAATCTATTTTTCAAAATTATAATAACAGTAGAAGAACTCTGTATTCTAAAATGGCCAAGAAACACTTGCCAACCAAGTCTTGCTGAAAGAATAGAATATATTTTATTCAGTTTACTAAGTATAGCTACATTTTTTCAAGTATAGCTACATTTTAAAGTGACATAAAGTCAGATTATAAAATATGCATTAATTCTAAAATAGTTGCTGAATGTAGAAAAGTTTATACAAGTTCATATCCCCCTCCAAAAAAAATTTTTTGAGCTCACATTTTAAGAGCAAGAAATTGTTAAAATGCTGGTGTTTCTAATTCCTATTAAAAGTACATTTTTGTAGAGGTTAAGTTTTTAGAGAAATACGTACTTATTATAAAAGCAAGCAAAGAAAGTCAAATCTATAGTCTGGGTATGTTCTACACATTACTGGGACACATTTGTTTATGATAAAACTAAGATCATAAGAAGCTGGCCTAATTCATAACAGCCAAGTTATTGAAACAACCTAAGTATCCATCAATAACTAAGAGGGTAAGGAAAATGTGGTGTATGTACATAACGGAATATTATTCAGCCATCAGAAGGAAATCTTGCCATTTGTGACAATATGCATGTACCTTGAGAGCATTATGCTAAGTGAAAGCCAGGCAGAGAAATGTAATTATTGTATGGCATCACTATGTGGAATCCAAAAGTAAAATCAAACTCATAAAGACAGAGAGTAGAAAAGACTGCCAATACCAGGCATGAGGGGAGTGTGGGAGGTTGGTAAAAGAGTCCAAACTCAGTTATAAAAGAATATGGACTGAGAATCTAATGCATATAAGGATGATTACAGCTGATAACATTGCATTGTATAAATTACATTTGCTATTAGCACATTTTAAAATGTACCAAAAACAGGAAAAAAATTGTGAGGTGATAGCTCTATTAATTAACTAGATGGGAATGGGGGCAATAAAATGGGAAAAAAATGGTTTAAAGCAAACTTTAAGATTCCCTATGAATTGAAAAAAAAAATCAACATTCTGCTCAAAGTTTTACTGTCTTACAAACATGACATAATTTTAGAATTACAAACAACAAAAATAGCAAATTCTTAATATGACATGGTTAATTTAAAAAGTAATGTTTGTTCTACAACAAAAAAGGTTGAAATACAAGCCAAGGTCCTGAAATGTAAGAGTGATATAAAAATAGCTGGACCGGCCCTCCCTGGTGGCGCAGCGGGTTAAAGCACAACACAAAGAAGCTTAAACCACTTCCGCATGAGTTCGATCCCTGCCTGCCCGGGAGGTGACCACATTGGCGTGGCAGACCTCTCCTGACCCGCCCGCTGCTCCCCTCAGCAGTGTACTTCATCGATCTGCCTGTTCTGCACCCCACTCTGTCTCTGGTGAATCCTCTCACCCTCTGCATCTCTGGCCTGTACCCCAGTTCTGTATGAATAAATAAATAAATCTTAAAAAAAAAAAAATAGCTGGACCTCCCTGGTGATGCAGTAGTTAAAGACGCAGTAATACTAAGCAATCACCAGTCACTGCAACTTGAGTTGGAACTCAGGCCAGGGTGCTTACTCTCCTGTCTGGCCTGCTGCTCCCCTCAGCAGTTTATTTCCGTGGATCTGACTGTTCTGCTCCCAACTCTGTCTCTGGTACATCCCTCTCACCCACTACACCTCTAGCCTACATCCCAGTTTGTGTATGCATAAATAAATCTTAAAAAAAAAAAAAAAAGGTTCTGAGTTAAATGTAATATAATCAAGTAAAAAAATATATGCGTTATTGTAACATTAAAAAACACCAGTTAGCAAAAAAAAAAAAATCAGTTAGCTTACAAGTTATCAATACTGAAAGTAATACCTTTTCTCTACTTGGAAAGTTGATATCAAACAGTGGGTAAACAAAAAACACATATTTAATATCACCTTTTCATTTTTAGCCTTTCATTAAATTTGTTCTGTGCTCATAAAAAGAAGCAGGAACATTTTTACCAGGTGTCTTTCTCAATTTTCACACACCTACTTTTTACCTCTGCATTTCTAACATTCATTTAATAGTGACACTTCCAGTAACAAAG